ATGCAATGAAATCCTCATGCTTGTTTACAGTTTCATTTATAGTTCATTTATGAACCTCCAAATTTGTTATCGTACTGAGTTGTTTTTCTTACCAAAGGCACAGTAGCAATACAATCTAAGTAACTCTTTGCAAGACTAACACTAGCACATATTACAAGAATGGCCAGACCCACAAAGATCAGCAGCTCACTGAACGGAATGAGAGTACCACCCATGGATGTTTTGAAAGAAAGAAGAAGAGTTCCCTAGACAGTCTGTCTAGGAAAGCACCTCTCAACACCCCATCAGAGAGAAGTTGTTTTCTGTTTGGAAGCACAAAGACTTATTCAAACCAGCTATCATTTTATTTTTTAACTCAAGAAACCAGAGGAAACAACAGTGCAGTAGAATTAAAACCCCAATATATACTTTAATTTATAAGAATTCTGTACCACAACTCCTAATACTGAATTCATAGAAACTGTTCAAAATACAAACTCTCCTCCAGAAACATGAGTTTTTCTATGTTGCAATATTCACTCACAGAGAACAGAAACATAGGAAATCCATGGTACCACGTGAGTTTCCAACATTGCTGCTTAACACAAAGGATAAATAAAACACAAAAACCCCACAAGCAAGCAAAAAAAAAAAACCCACCCCACCAAACCAAAACCTTCCTAATAATGTATATGCAGAAAGATCTTCTATAATTTTATATGGAAGGTCACTTTTACTAGATATTACACTTAGAATAGAGGTGCATAATTTTTAAGGTAAGTAAATTACTAAATCGAACACACCAAAACCACCAAAGATTTTAACAGCAATGTTGTGGAACTTAGATATTTATGAGTCATAAAAGGATGAGGTCTTGGAAACTGAAAGAGTACCTGCTTCAACAGATTTACCTTAAGTGTATGTTCCACACCAGCTTAAACAGCCTGATGACTTCACTTAAACATTTCAGTTATAATTATCTTCCACAGTATTATAAAGTGGTGTAAAATATAACACAGAGGCTTAATATAGTGTTAATATTTAGATTTTGCATTTAATCACATTGGGGCCTATCAATTTCCAGAAAAACATCTTTATATTGGCTATAAGAGCAGACAGAATGATGGTTTTGTCATTAAGCATCAAACATTTGTCAGTGCATCAATAATTCTCTTTAATTTACTTTACCCTCAGAAGCTGGTGTGAGCTGTTGGGCCCTGCGGTGTGCTTCAATAATAGTGCATTAAATGGAAAGTATCTATGCCTGGCTGACCATTCTGAAAGCTGTTTTTTGTGGCCTGAAATTAGCTATTTGGATTCCCTACAGAGTCTTGGCTTCAAAAAGAAACAGATCATTTGTAATGCAAATAATCCACCATCCCTAGAACATCATCCTAATAGTGAACTACTAGTGGTATGAAAGCTGCAGGCATAACAAACCCCCAAATATTGGCATAAGCCTTCTAGTGTTGCTAAAATATGTAAACACATACAAAAATATAAAGGTAAAAAAGGGAAAAAAAGACAATAACAATCTTGACTCCAACATTAAGTAAACTACTACAGCAGACAAAGCTGGATAATATAGTAACATTCACCCTCTTACTAAAAAGCTGCTATTACATACATGAAAATCAAAGTTAAAATACTTAAAACTTTAGGACACACCCAACAATTGTGTGCCATGAAATGTACCATTGCTTACAACCCAGCAAATAAACACTAGAAACCAGGAATGACATATACAGCTTTGCTATTTTAATTCAAAAAGGCAATGCAAATTAGGGAAAGGGACTTGGCCTGTCATTATAGAGTTTTATTTTTAATTCTCACATTTTACAGCTTCTGTAGAAGTCATGCTCATCTACTTCTTACATTAAGAACACAAAGAGTAAATACAGAGAGCTCATTGTATTCTAGTAATAAAAAGAAACACCAAAACTCTTGGCTGCCTCATACTACTTAGCCCACTACACCTACTACCAGGGGAAGGAAGACAATCTCTGCTGTAGCATCTCTGCCTCCATCCAGGCCTTAGCTCTCCGTAACAAGCTCTGATGAGCTCAATTCAATGAGCATACGAGGAGAAGATTAAGCAACAAGCTTCTAAAGCGTTTCAAATACTTGAGGGGGGCGAGTTTTCTTAGGCACATAACTGCTAAGACAAGAACATCTCATGGTTAAACACTGCGCATCCAGCAGCCCAAAGACTCTCTGAGTTACTCAAGCTGCAGCAAACAAAATAAGGATTTCAGTTGTTAATGTAAACCTTAACAATAAAACTCAACAACACAGGTTGATTTTACTACAGTCTTTTATGAGAACTTTCTATAAAGTTTCATTGTCAATATCTTGACTCAATGAAAAGATGAGCCAACCAGACTGTTAAACACTGAGATAAGACTTATTTATTAAGGACAACCATAACAATCAAGTAAAGTGAAAGTGTGAATGTCCTTAATTCCCCCCTCCCCCCCAACTGAGTCAAGTTAATTTGAGAAACTATCATTGATGAAAGTGATAGAATATAAACAAAAGTATATGCAAAAGTAATTTCAAGTATGTAGAGTGACTGGTTTAATAAGGTGATACAAAAACAATCAGAATGTTTGCTACAACTGCATTTCATTTATTTTCTACAATTGCAAAGATCAGGGGCAGTTTATTTGTGTAGATCCTGCAGTAGATCTCTGAACAAAGAAAGACAAAAACTCAGTAAGAAAACTTCAGCAAAGACCGCATATCAAGCTTTGCCTTCAATATACTCCCTCCAAAGGACTTCATTGCCTTACTTGAAAATTAACTTTTAGGGATGGCAAATTTGAATGCTTAATGCTATGCTTTTAGTTAAGATCTCCCAAGCACACACCATATAGATGGATGATTGGAAGCAGAAGAGAACACCAAGTGTGAAAAAGAAAGAATCTGAAAATGTAGTTAAGTATTTGAGATCTGGGAAGGTATTCCAGGTCTCCAACACCCCCCCTCCCCTCGCAACAAAACAACCCCAAAAGAAACAAACACACTCCCCCCCCAAAAAAAAAAAAAAAAAACCAAAAACAAAACCAAACAACCCAAAAAACCCCACCAACCTCCCAAAAAATCTATGATTCTAGAAAAGGCTGTTCAGGAAGGCGGTAGGAAAACATTCACTTAACAGAGACAACATCATAATGAGAAAGAAAAAATACTATTGGACTTAATAAATCAAGGCGACTAAAGCATATCTTGTGAAGCACATTAAGTACAGACACTCCCATCCATTCTGCTGCTGCTGCTCTGGAAATGCTACAGGCAGTTACACAAGTGCACTGTTCTACACTGTATTCAAGGCACTAGAAGAGATCTGCTCAGAGGAGGAGATTACTCTGAAAAACGCTCTTCAAGAACACATACACTCAAACTTCTGTATCAGTTCCCCAACACATCCCTACCACTCCAACGTAGGAAGGCAACTGAATGCTTCAAAGCTGCTCACATACCCTAGGTGAATACTGTCGTGCCTCTTTTCCAGCTGAGGCTATAAAAGAGGTCCGATATCCCACCGATTCAAAGATTTAATCCCAGAGGCATTTAAGTTTCCTGTGGTCATGAATTGGTCTTACCGGTCTTTGGGAAGGGACAAAGAAAATCTCCTTGGCCACTCCTGACAGTTTGAAGAATTAGCTTATCTTACATTTCAGAAACTGAGTTGATACTATGTGCTCCCTTAAGGTTTTTTTTGGTTTTTTTTTAATGCTTGAGATCTCTTTCAAGATCGCAAGACAGGTTCTCTTACTGTTGGGCGACTACATGCATGCATACAAGAAGAACACAAAATGATGCCAGTGGAAGATGCTCAAGTGGACTTACTGACTTTTAAATCTGCAAGTAAGAACCAAGACATTTCAAGAATTCTCATTATAGGGAAAAATCCTCTCTAACACCAAAGGAGTTAGATTGTCAAAATGGGGGGGGGGGGAAGTAAGTGAAATCAGCTACTTCTCACAGATATGCAGTTGACTTTTTTCTGTCCTATAAGGTTCTCTTTTTAGGTTTTTTTAAACAGAGCACTAAAAACTATTAGGTCAACGGTAAGTCCCAGATATATGCTACAAATACAAACTAGTAACTGTACAGTGATTCCTCAAATTTCCAACTGTGATTCTTCTTACAAATTAACAGTTTTGTAAAGCCTGAATATTATAATCAGTATTGGTTAGAACTGAATTTCTGCTGGGATTTGAAGCCACTTGCAACTGGTACTACTCTTTGGGAATCAGAAGCCACTGTAAAGAAACAATGTCTGCAAGTGCTGTTCTTCCAGAAGCATAAAACAGAAAAGCTGATCTTATGCTATAAAAAGCACCATAATAAAAACCTCAGTACTATCCATTTGTCTTTCAATGTGTAGCAGATGTTCCTCACATTTTACTTATTATGGGATTAAAAGGCAACTTTTGGGATTAATATCAGCATAAAATGAGTAAGTTTTGGTATATCATTTTCATGTATTTCTGGGTGGGGGAGAACCCAAATAGGCAACGATTTGTTGGCATGTGTACAAACAACAAAGCAGAAAATCTCTGATCCCCTCATGGCTGTGCAAAAGTCAACTTACAGTCCACCACGACTCCTAGCTGTAGGGAAGGCCTGAGCAGAACATCATCTTGATGCTGACAATGGAGGGTCACCCCTCCCTTTTTTTTGGCTGTGAAGACCTGCACCATTTGTAGCACTAGTGCTTCTCTGACCCCTCAATGAGCCAATTCAATTTATAATCCCAGCTCTTCCCCCCCCCATTAAATGAGACAGGCTGAATGGCTATAAATGCATGTTTATGGATGCAATGATAAAGCAACACTGTAGATTGCCCTGACAAATTTGGAAGAACAGGTTCACTGACATATACAAACAACTCTGTGCTAAACGATCAGGCAGGTCCAACTACACTTTAGATTGCTGTCTAGTATATTCTTCAATACAATGAGTAACTTACTGGCAGGATAGCACAGAAAAAACCTAAATTGGGATTTACTTACAATGCTGATCACAGTCTACTCTAGCAAACACCACTTGATTCTTATCTGGATACTCTTCCTTAATTACGTTAGAAGCTTCCTCAAAAATAGGATGCAGCATTTGGCTGAAGCGGCACCTGTGGATAGAACACAAAATCGTAACTTCAAAATATTAATTTGAAATATTTTAATTGATGACTCAGGGAATATTTCAATCTTTGAAGGAAAAAGAAAAAAAAAGAAAGAAAAGCTATTGGAAAAGAACATCTACTTGTAATCATCCCAGTAACTGGCTGGATAAAAATAGGTTCAAAAGTAACTTGAATGATTCAGGTGGAAAAAAAAATAATTCTAAAAGAATATACAGTTCAAGATATGCCCCCTTGCTTTATCTGCTTAAGAAACACCATTAATCAATTATAAGCCTTTAGGAAATATATTCTATTAAGAAAGTCTGTTCTTCATTTTTTTCTACCTGAATTATCCCTGGGAAAGTAGTTTTTAAAGTATAGTAAAAGTTACTTGGATTGTTGAGATTCAAATATTCACCAACAATCACTTTCAAGAAATATCACGGAGATAACTTTGTAAGGGTCAACAATAGAAGTTATAAGTATTGCTTATTATATTATTGCTCCAGTTTGGTAGAATTTGAAGACTGCTATTACAGCACTATGAACAAAGAGAATCCCATGGGTCCCTTCTTCCAGTCATGTCAGATTTTGAAGCAAATCCTCTTTCTGCCCACAGAAAAGGCTGTAGGATTGTAAAGATGCTTTGGTGGCTTTGGGGAGGTTAGGGTGACATTAGTGCACAAGCCCATTATTAATATGTCAATAAAATTATTTTATATTCTGTTCCTCTAAAAACATGGCAGAATTTTAAATTGAAGCTGTGTAACGGCATTGTAGAAGTTGTCAGAATGAGACCTCATGGAACAGACTTGCAATAAAACCGCCTGCACTGAAGCCGTGCTTAAACTTAACAGTGATAGCCTGGGGATGCTGTTACGACTTACGCCAGCAAACATTCAAGTGAAGAGACAGGTTTTGCGCTCAAAATACAAACAGGGCTTAAGGCCATTTTCTGAAAGAAACCTGACTCTGGGCAGCACAACTGTATGCTACGCATCTGTGTAGCACGTATGTGTTACACATGGCTTCCTTGTTCCCTCATTCTTCTCCACCCTTACAGCAGAGTATCTACATCAGCAAAACTGGTAATTTCTCATTCAAAGGTCCCGTTACATCATAGGCTGGCAGTACGCTATGTTATTACTGAATGCCTACATGTAATGATCATAATTAAGGCTGTAACGTTTTAAAGTTACGGCCTACTATAATGTGAATCAATTTGCAAGCATACGCAAATCTTTAAATTCAAAGCAAACCTACTCTAGAGAGGATTTGATAACAGTGGGGATTGCAGAAAGAGCTGTGCTAATAGGGTCCTAAAACAGGATGCTTGTTACCTTGTTATATCAAGTTTTAAAATATTGGTATCTTCCCTTTGTCACAGAAGTATCAGAACATGGATTTTTAGCGTCCTGCAGTTTGCCTTTTGCAAAATCAAAAAATGATTTTTCCATGGCAACACAGACCCCAAATTTCAGTGTATTAAATTTACTCTCCATAGGTTTGCTTTCCTCGGTTATCTTTAATAAAACCTTTTGAAGTAGTCCATGATCCACCAGGTATCTGCAGATCACAAACTGAAAATAACCATCTTGAAAGTTTAATCTATTTACTTATTTTAAAAGGCATCTTTGATAGCATAATTCTATACAGAACAGGTAAGAGATTAGACCTAGTTTCTTACTTAACTAGTTACTTAGTTGTACTATCATTATAAAGAAAGACGTTTCAAACAAATAGCTTACTTGGTAAACAAATGTAATCTCTCTAAAGAAAAATTCTATTGGTTTAAATGTGCCTAGTATCAATTTAGTCTGTGGTAGCAAATGAACAGATGCAAACTAATTGAACATAAAAATTGTCTATAAAATGACAGAGGTATATACACAAAGGTTATTGAACTGATTTAGATTGGTATGTCTATCTTTATGCAAAGTTTAAATGAAGGCATTAAAAACATCTTTATTGAGAACTTCATTCTATATGAAAAGACTGGGTATGAATTTTTCAAAATCACTTTTAAAAAACAATTAAAATTAGCCTGCTACTAGTTGAATGAATTATCAGTAAAGGCAAAGTGTAAATTTTTCATGTAAAGCTCTGTGCACTTGCTATTTCTAGGCCATACAGACCTACAGACTTAGACATATAGTGGGATGCGAAAGAGGTGA